TTTTTTTGCAGATAAAGACAACGTAAGTATGAGCTCTTATAAAGTTGATACTAAAACAAACCTTCCAATTCTCTATTCGAAGGATAACATTGGAAAAAATTTGAGGCTACTTATCCTGATGGAATTAAACGTACATCATTTATGGCATGCTTGGCAAGTGGACCATATGTACATCAAAAGGATCTGGGTGGTCTATGCAGTATCTGTAATGATTATTTTTATGAGGTTTTTACTACATTGAATAGCATAATCCATGCACACATAACTGATAAAGAAGAAAAGGTAACTAAAATAATATATATTTTGTTTACATAATCAGAAATTCTTAATTTAATCTTAATTTTTAATTTATCATCCATATAGAATAAGCTAGTTACAGAATTGGAAAAATTGCAGGTTCATTTGAGAAGAGGTTTTGAGGAAGAACTTGTCATGAATAATGATGGTACAACACCACATGTAGATATAATAAACCATTGCCTGCTTTATGCATTTGGTGAATGCAATGAACAACATAATGAAAATTGTACCCAATGTAATCAATTATTTGTGATTATCAAAAATTTTATCAACAGATTTGAAGAACAAAAATCCATAATTGAAGAATGTCGGGACAAGTTATATTATTTTCTGGCACACCAAGCAAGGAAAGTATATCTGAATAATCAACTTAAATCTAGATTAGCAAAATTGGACAATTATGGTGCAATTTTAATTTGTGATTATAAAATGCGCATTTTACCAAAAACTGCAAGAGAGACTAAAGAAAAATTTTTTGGGAAGCGTGGATGGACATTGCATACTATTCTAGTTTACACAAAATTTGATACTAACCAACTCAATATTCAAGCATTTGATCATTGGAGTACTGATACCAAGCAAGATGCTTGGTTTACAGCTTCATCATTTGATTCTGTTTTTGATAATTTAGATCCACGACCACAATGGATTGAAGTGTTTTCAGACAATGGTGCCCATTACCACAACTCAGAATTAATGACCATAGTTTCCTACTGGCACCAATGGTATAATATTGAGGTTCGTGGTTGGTATTTTTTTGAACCAGGAGAAGCAAAATCAAGTGTTGATTCTCATCATGCACAGGTGAAATTTTCTAAATTATGCTATTGTATATAAATATATATGTATTTCCATTAATTAAAAAATATATCTTTCATTAGATTTCTCATGCTATCAAGAGATATGTGCATGTTGGCCATAATCTAGATGAAGGAAGGAAAATAGAAGCAGCAACACATAGATTAAAGGGAACTTCTATTGCTCATCTTGAACCAGCACGCCAAAATCAGAATCACAAAGTGAAAACAATTGATGGCATTACAAAATTGTTTTACTTTGAATGGCCAATTGAAGGTGATTATGCTGGATTTATGCAAGCTCAATGTCTACCACATATAGGAGAATTTCTACAGTTTTCACCATTAGAGACAACACCTATAAACAAGCCATCACCCCTAATTTCCTCTCATTCAATCCCTGAAAAACAGTGGAATACTTCATTGTCTTATGTTCAAGGTAAAATCAAAAAGATGAATTATATTTTTTTTTTATATTATAAATACTACACAAATGACTGTAAGTGTATATACTACTATGCAGTAATGCAGACAGTTATCCACAATTATCTTTGCACCATTTCTCATTATTTTAATTTCATTGTTGCACAATTTGCCAAGCTGATAATTCATTAGTTCCTTTAGAGGTATACAATCATTGCTAAAACATTTTCTCTTTTGAATCTAAATAATAATTTTGGTACTCTCTATTCAAAGGAGCATTTAATCGATATGATCAATGGTCAAGGCAACATAATTTTTGCCAATATACTATTAATATTCAACCATCATGCCTCTACAGTGATACTTCAGTCTTCTACAACTTTGCCTGATCCCATTTCTCAAGATGTTATTTCGAAAGCAGTTTTATATTAATGATTAAAGGTTATTTTAAACTATGAAATAATATCAATATCATGAATTTTGCAAATTTTATATATTCTAATAAAACAACTCCATTATTAATTCTTGGTCATGATAAAGGTGTTTCAATTATTATATTGTTGTGCAACGTTTAAAATTTGGGTCGATCTACGCATAGAACGCGATGGTTTAGTGTGTAACTTAACTTTCCTTTCATATTCTTTCTTGTATGATAAAGAAGGTTTGTTAAATTTCGTGATATATTGACAGAATGGTTTTAACTGGAAATTTCTAATTATTTTACAATGTCAATAAATGATTTTATATATTTTATTATGTTTAATTAATTTTAATTAATAAAAAAATTTTTTCAACTTTTTCAATTTCAATTAATTACATGTTCTCTTTGATGATCTAAAAGAAAATAAATAAATATGACTTATTTTGACAATAAAGATATTCAAGAACTTTCGAAAACAGTAGAAAATGATTCATTAAACAATAATTATTCTAAACCTGAAAATGTAAACAATGAATCAGGTAATTTAATGGTTTGCAGACAGTATTTATTACAAGAACTTTTTAATGACTTGTTTATTTATATTTGACATAATGACATTCATTGTACTTACACTGTTATATATATATGTGTGTGTGATTTTAGATGTTTTAACTGAAAAATTGTTTCAATTAATTGGTGGACCATCTCCCGTAGCAATTGTGAGACCTGCTCTAAAAACTAGATCAAA